CCATGGAGAGATTAAAAAGACTCGGACTGTTCAGCTTGGAGAAGAGATGACGACGGGGAGATACGATGGAGGTCTCTAAAATCATGACTGCTGTGGAGACAGTGAATCAGGACATGTTATTGACTCCTCCACATAACACAAGAACTAGGGGTCACCCAGTGAAAGGAATAGGCAGCAGGTTTAAAACAAATACAAGGAATTACTTCTTCACACTATGCACAGGCAGTCTGTGGAACTCGTTGGCAGGAGATAAGTTCATGGAGGCTAGGCCCATCAGTCACCATTAGCCAGGCTGGGCAGGGATACAGCCCATGCGCCGGGTGTCCCTAAAGCTTTGACTGCCAGAAGCTGAGGCTGGATGATGGGATGGATCACTTGATAAGTTGCCGGGCTCTGTTCATTCCTGCTGAAGCACTGTCAGAGCCGGGATACTGGGCTAGGTGGCTAGGTCTGACACCATATGGTCATTCTTGTACCCTTAATCCGAAGGCCATTCCTTGCATCTTCCCCAGAGAGTGCTGCAAACCCAGTGCCACTTCCCCATTACCTGGCTGGGGGCTACGAGGAACTCTCTTTGGCTGGTACAGTGTACCTGTCTGCTCACCCAGGGATGGAGCCCGCTGCAGAGTGCAATAATCTGTATGTTCAGGGAACTTGTTTTTCCCTTTGATCTGCAGGTGGCACATGTCATATAAAGTGTCTGTCTTCATGGCCCTTCTCTCCCCAGAGCACCTTGCAGAAGCCTCTTGTGGCACTCTCTGCCCTTCAGCACTGGAGGCTGATGGAAGGTTTGAGGAAGTTACAAGGAAGAGAGTCCTTTACCAGCCCTGCTAACTGCACTCACCCTCTGCCTCAGGGTAAGAAGCTCATTACCCTGGGTTTGGGGAAGTGTTCCCCTCCCCCACATGAGTGCAGCAGGTGATGTGACTTCCTCTTTCCCCAGCCCCAGAGCCCTGCGCTGCTCAGTGGAAGTCACTGTTCCCTATTGCTGTGAGAAGCAGCTTTTGACTGGATGAGCAGGAGGGCTCCCAGGGACTGACTGGCAGGTGAGTCACAAGGGAAAGAGTCATTCAGAGAGGAGCCCAGTCAAAGCAGCCAGTGGCCTTAGGTTGAACTCTGGAACTTTCAGCTCAGTGTCAAGCGATTAGCTCATCAAAAGCTGGGGCTATGGGGTAAAAGTTGTGTTGAAACAAGTGAGAGAGGCGCTGCCCATGTGTGCAGCTGCCCTACAGGGCGCGTAGGCTCTTCTCTGCCCAGGCCTGCCAGATGGCTGGTGCTGCAGATGCTGGTTAACATGAAACATGCTGTTTTCCCAGAGGTGTTCTGAATGCGTTCTGGCTTCCACTTCCTAGAAACATTCACCATGTCCTCATGGCTCCCACTTAGCATATGGACTCTGTCTGCAGCCATCCAGCCCTTTGGGGCTGCAGGTGGGAGCGGGCCAGCATTGCACTGGACTGCAGCTTGGTGCTCCCTGCTAAAGGGAGAGGAGCTGGGATACTGTTTACCCCCTCCCCTGCCTCCGAAAAGACTGGTTCATTCTGTGTGGGAAGAATCTGGTACACGCTTCCCCAGCGTGTGCATGTGTCATTTTCCACTCATGGTGGGGAGTTTTGCCACTCCCCCACTGCCAGTAAATAGGTGCAGTGGCTGCAGGCTGAGAATTCTTTGGGGCTGTGGGGTGGGAGTGGGGCTGGAGGAAAAGAGTTTCTGTCCTACCCCACCTATATTCCCCACCCCCTTCTCCTCACACACATGCAGCCTGCAAGCAAGCTCTGGTAGAGCTGCAGTGAGAACATCTGCAGGTGTGGGCTCATGCAGGGGGAAGGGCAGGTTGATGGAGGGAGCTCAGTCACCCTGGTCCTTATTTTCCCCCTCAAGGATCTTGAAGGTGGTGAATTCTTCTCCCTTGCCTCCAGCAGTCAAAAAAAGCATGCACGACGGGGTCCCAGCCACCCATTTGTGCTCTGGGTTCATCCACCCACTGGGCAGTGAGACTCACTCCAGTGATGGGCTTTCCTTAACTAGGGCACATGGTAGGGGCTGGGAGGCTCAACCCACAGGCGGTAACACTCCTAAAAGCTTTCTCCTGCCCATTCAATTTTCTTGGCTTAAATGCTCTCTTTTCTGGTCTTAGCACCTCAGAGCGGTTTTGGTTCCCCTCAGAGAGGCAATGGAGAGGCTGCCTTTGCTGTGTCGTATCTAAACTGGGCAGGAACAATGAATTAGGGCCCACACTGAACATTGGTTCCTGCTCTGGCCTGCCAGTCGCTGTTTAACCTGCTGGCCCAATGTTCCTCGCACTCCCAGGTTTCATCTACAGAGTTAATAAAATGGTGGTAAGTGAAGTCAAGTTTCAACTCAAGGAGTGTTTTGGGGCCGCAGCAAAATAGCTAGTGAGTGAGTGAGAGCCCCTGGCTGCAGGAGCCAGTTTAATTGGTCTAGGGGTTTTTACGAGCAGATTTTATGTTTAAGCTCACACATGGCCCAGGAGCGATGCTGCAGCAGGGCATTACTCTCCTGCATGGGTCTTGAGGGAATTCAGGTCAAGCCTAATTATACCTAATTGAGCAGCCCCACTGCACAGGGCTTGCAAAATAATGGGTGTAGGCTGGAGAATAAAGCAAACAAGATGAGAGGTAATTAGTGTCGGAGCTGGGACCATCATGCCCTGGTAAATACCCAGCAAGGTGTGAACCTCCTGAGCAGCCCTCTCATTCCACATTTGTACAGGTTATTCAGCACTACCAGGACACTAGGAGAAATTCAGTTCCCTGCTAGCAGCTGAGTCTTTACAGCCTAGGGAATAGGGCACTGGACTGGGACTCAGGAGACCTGGGTTTGATTCTTAGCTCTGCCATTGGCCTGCTGGGAGACCTTGGACAAGTTTCTTCCCTGTGCCTCAGTTTTCCCTATCTGTAAAATAGGGACAATGAGACTGCCCTCCTTTATACAGCACTGTGAGATTGAAAGGTGGAAAGCACTATAGAAGAGCTAGGGATTTGTTAGAGCTGCCATCTCCTGCAAATGGATCCAGGTTGTTACTGGTTTCCTGGCCAGTGTCTTTTCTCCAGACAGTTCTCCAGGGGGTGGGTATTTTGGATTGATTTCTTTGTCTCATGCCACAATAGTGCTGTGTCCTTCTATAGTCCCTTTCATCCTGGGATCTGAGGACTTTGCAAATGAGCCTCACAACATTACTGTGAGTAGGAAGGGTAAGACATGTATAGGGTTCCGTTTATCCTGCACTGTAATGCAGCCACTTCTTGGATGAAACACAATAACTTTAACCATGCACAGCAATGTCCAAAACAGTTTAAGAGAAGTGAAAAAGTTCAATATCCAAATGAACTTGCCAAGAGAATTTAGAGCAGCAGGATGAAATTACCTGTGACGCTTCCTGCAGGCACCCAGGGTTGTGAGGCATCTCGCTACCGCCTGCCTTGCCTGTGCCTGCTGGGGATCCTTGACTCCACTAGCCACGGGCAACACAAGCACTGCCCTCTCAGCTTAGCAGGCCCCTCTGTCTCGGTGCAGGAACACTCCACCTACTCTCCCTCAGGGCATCTCCCGGGAGTGGACAGCCCAAATCCAGGGGCACTTTCCAAATTCACACATCTGCTACTCACAAAGGAATAGTACACGCCAGTTTCACCTCAAAATCACTGCTCCACTTAACACACAGCACTTATACTGGTTTTCACTATATACATATCTAAGTTTATTTAACAAAGAATTAAGATTCAAGAAGAAGCCCGTAGAATGATGGAAACAAATGGTTACATATAAAAAAATCATAACATGCATTCTAGAGCCTAGACTTAGCTAACAGGTTACGTTTTAGCCCTATGGAGTTTAGCCCACCCCAAAGTTTTTCTCCCAGTGTTTTACAGCCTGGCTGGCTGTGACCGTCTGTTCATAAGGTATGGATGCTGACAGCTTATCCCGTCGGTGAAGGCTACCAAGTACACCCCTGTATATTTCATCAATTCATTGTCTATATTTTTAAACTCATGAGCTGCTTCTAAAACAATTCCACAGTGACATAGAAATGTAGCTCCCTGTCTAGCAGGTCATGGATGGAAGGAGGCGTGCCCAGGGAAGGCATCTGTCTCTTCTACAGCCCAGGCACCTCCCAGAAATACCCTCCTAGGTCTCTCAGAATCAGAGAGGCCTATAAACATGTTACAGTAAAAGCTTTGTTATCCAGCATGTTGGGAGGATGGGGGGTACTGGCTTGGAGCTGCAGGGACATGTCGCCACTTGCGGGGAGCCACCCAAGGTGAGCGCCGCCCCGGATCTGGATACCTGGAAACCCTATCAGAAATGCCAGTTTCTAGAGCTTTCCAGTTGGTAAAGTGCCAGATAACACAGCTTTTACTGTATTTATCTTGCTCTAGCCTCTTCTTTGTTTGCCCTGACTCTCTGGTAAAGATCTTTCATGCCTGGACATAGCAAAATTGCCCTTATTTGTGAAGAGAGAAACCAGCGGGGACCTCATTTCAGATGGGGCTAGCGGATGTGAGGGCTTTATTCAGGTAAGTGGGAGCGATGTTTTGAGCAGTGCACCAGAAGCAGCCATGTAGCAGTTACTGCTTCTGGTGTCACAAGGATTCCCAGCACTGAGCTGAGTCCAGGATAAATGTACACCCAATGCAGTAAAATCACCTGCACCATCCCTGGCGCTTTGTTTCTGGCTGATCTTGTATATTGTCCAGTAGAAGTTGGTTGCTGTGATCACTGCAGTTGGGCACAGTAGCCAGCAGAGGGTGCCGTGCGTCCATCCAGCCTGCTCCCCTGGCTTCATGCTCCAGCTGCTTGGCACTTGCCCTGTTCCTGTGTGCATAGCGTTTGTGAGCGTTTGGGCATGTCCGTTTGGTTCCCATCTGCAATGCCCACTCCCCACAGCCAGGCCAGGTTATTCTCGCACCAGGGACTCTGCTAATTCACAGGAAATCAGGGAGAGTTTAATTGTTTTCTCCTCTTTTTTTCCCATGCAGCTGAACAAAAGGTTCATCATCAGTTTTCTCCATGCCCATGGGAAGCTGTTTACCAGGATTGGGTGAGTGTGCAGGATGTTTATTTTATTTTCCTACATTACTAGTCTTTTTGGAATTTAATATTGTTAGCAACTAGGCTGTGTTTGTAACTGAGGGCATAGGGTGTGAATTCTTGCAGGCCTAGCCTCCTGGTTCTTCTTCTCCTTAGCCGCCCTCCATCCTGTGCTGGTTATTGTTTGGGCTTTTTCTCTTCTCACCCACCTCGAGGCTGTGTCCTGTCGGGCCCTGGGACGGAGTATAAGCCTGGCCCAGCCCTGTGGGCTCTGGAACTCCCAGGAGCTGCCTTGCATTTCCCAGATCTCCCAGTCCTCTCCTCTGTATGACTGTTCCCAGCTTTGCCCACCGCGTTCTTACCCAGCTCTCCTGGCTTCTTCAGGTCTCACTGACTGCTCAGGTGTGTTTTTCTTGAGGAATTTGCGTTCCTCTGACTGCAGACCTGCTGTCCAGAAATGGTGAGACAAACGCTCTCCCTTAGTTGCTTTGGCTCCTTTTCCTTGGAGGCTGTTGGCTAAGCGCTACCCTGGCAGTGGGAGCTCATTTATAAAAAGTGCTCTTAGCATGTCTGTCATAATGGGGCGTCAAATAATTGGATGGCCGTCCTTGAAATACAGTGAGTCTGATCAGGCATGGGCTGAGATCCCAGCCTGGGGGATTCGGGTCTGACCCAGGGAGCACGAGTGCAGCCTTCCCGTGGTGTCTCTGTTAGTCATCTGAGATGGGCCTGTTACTGTCAGGTGCCTGTGGTGCGAAGTGCTTGTGTCTTTGCTTTGTGTCTGGTGTTGTGGTGGGCCTATTTCTCAATCCAAACACCCTGAGTTGCTCTGTGTGTAATGTACCTTTCAGTATGGGAGCTACTTGCTCAGCACCATGTTCCATCTCTTCTCTTCCTCCCCGCGGCCTAGAGGGTGGTATTGTAACCAGGATTCCCGTGGCTCCTGCAGTCTCTGATAGGGCCGTTTGTTACCAGTTACCAAACTGAGACTTGTTACAGGCCACCTGAGAGAACCCAGCACTGGCCTGACTGGCTCATGGTCCTTTCTGGTATTTGACTCAGGCAATGTAGGTTCTTGCTCTAGCCAGGATCTGTCTTTCAGCCCTTCCCTGGAAAGCCCTCCCCAGTCTTATGGGCTGGAGGATGTCTTCATTAGTAGTAACGTAGAAACTAGCAGTGAGCTTGGCTTGGTGTAAAGCTGCAGTTCCTGCCGCAAGGAGCTCACATTCCAAGCTGGCTGAGCAAACTATGCCTTTGAAGCCTCAGGTACCTGCAGTTTCTGTTGTCTTTCCGTTTGAGTTCAGGATCTTCCCATCTCAATGCAAAGTATGAGCCACTCTGGCTAATTCAGAGGAGAGTGAGCCCATTGAGCTGCTCATGGCTAACAATGTGAATCCCAGTCTGTGTCATGAGTCTGTTTATCTGAATGTGGGCAGCATGCTGGCCTGGAGTGAGGAGTCAAAGAACTGGATGTCCTCTTGGATGGAGAAAAAAGGGCAGATGGAACTTTTAGTAACTGAATCGTGTTTCTCTGCCTGAGGGCATTGTGTCCAAGGACCTGCCTGTCCTGAGCTCTGCCGAGGCTGTGCTCATGGCTGAGTTATGGTTTGAACGCTTGCCAGCAGGATGGATTAATGGGGATGTTGTGGTGATCGCTTGCAGATTTGTCTCCTGAGACTTTCATGAAATTAAGATGCAGCATTTTAGGAGGTCACTTCCCAGGACAGCCATTTAAAAAAATCCAAGTATGTTTAATGACAGACTCTCTCCCTGCCGTTCCTATTAAGGGAACTTGAAAGTAATATCAAGCCCTGAAAGGGAAATCAGCTGGTGGTGCTAAACAGCTTCTGTGCTTAAAATAGGTGAATGGGGGAAAATAGATCAGACCTACTGTTGGTGCCTAGATCATTAAACTGTGGATGGCATGGGCTGTGTTTTGTGGCATTAATTAGAATGTCTCACCACTAAAGACCAAAGGCCGGCAGTTCAGTGAAGACTTCCACTTCACTGCTAACCTGCTGGGCTCTGAGCTCAGTGGGCTTACCACACATGCTACCAGATGTGCTTGAGTATCAAAGCACAGCTGCCTGGGTTGATGAAGCCTTCACTCCTTCGAGCCTTCCAGAGTCCAAACATGACAATAACGTTCATTTCCTTTTGTAAGAAAGGAACAAATGGGGGAGAAATCCACCCTGCAAAGGGGCCCTTTGCCGTGCTGAGGTCTGGGCCTTGTTTGCACTCACAGGATGTTGGCTCTGTGGTGAGTTGTACATGGTACAGGAGACTGTATCGAAGTCCGGAGGCCTTTAGAAACAATCCTAGCTCTTAAACACCAGGAACGTTCCCTCTTCCAGGGGGAGCAGCTTGACTGTGCTGAAAGGGGCCAGCCCCATTCTGGAGGGCTACAGAATAGCAGGGCTGTTGTAGCAGCCAGTATTTGATGCAGTGGATGGCTTTGTGCTGCTTTGGCAGACAGTGTGGAGGGCATGGGCTGTCCTGCCGCTGGGTTGCACTGGGTTTTAAAAGGCACCGTGGAGCGCAGCCTTTAAAAGTAGAGTGGGTTGCACTTGGAGGATGTTGTTGGATCTGTGATGACTAGGGCCCTACCAAATTCACGGCCATGAAAAACGCATCATGGACCATGAAATCTGGTCTTTTGTGTGCTTTTACACTATACTATATAGATTTCACAGGGGAGACCAGCGTTTCTCAAATTGGGGGTCCTGACCCAAAAGAGAGTTGCGGGGGGGCTGCAAGGTTATTTTAGGGGGGGTCGCAGTATTGCCACCCTTACTTCTGTGCTGCCTTCAGAGCTGGGTGTCCTGAGAGCGGCGGCTGCCAGCAGGAGCGCAGAAGTAAGGGTGGCAATCCCACACCAGGCCACCCTTCTGCGCTGCTGCCTTCGAAGCTGGGTGGCTGGAGAGCGGCGGCGGCTGACCGAGGGCCCAGCTCTGCAGGCAGCAGCACAGAAGTAAGGGTGGCGATCCCACACCAGGCCACCCTTCCTTCTGCGCTGCTGCTGGCGGGGCTCTGCCTTCAGAGCTGGGCTCCCGTCCAGCAGCCGCCGCTCTCCGGCCGCCCAGCTCTGAAGGCAGCACTGCTGGCAGCAGCAGCGCAGAAGTAAGGGTGGCCGTAACGCAACCCCCCCTACAACAACCTTATGACCCCCCCACAACTCCTTTCTGGGTCAGGACCCCTACAGTTACAACACTGTGAATTTTCAGATTTAGATAGCTACAATCATGAAAGGATGTTGGGGAAGCCCAACAACATTGTCCTTGTGGGTTACCAGACGCATCCCATTCATCCAGCATAGAGCCTTCTCACATTGCAAGGTCTGAATCTGAGTGGGGGAGGATAAAGGAAATCACTACGTTTGCTGAGTGTGACAACTGGGCATGTCCTGGAGGCCCCTGTGTTCAACTACTCTAATGCTGAGGCTGCCCCTGCTTTTCCCAGGATGGATTTCAGCTTTCCTGTGCATCTCTGGAAGGGCACACTGGAGCCTTGTGCCACTACTGACTGGATCTGGCGGTCATCCTGGCACAGTGCCCTGGCATTGGCTCTTCACCAGGACAGAACCACTTGCTGGAACAGTGTGGGGTTTGTTGGGGGAGTTCAGCAGTAAGGATGGGAGTAACACTCTCTCCAGTCCACTAGTATCTCTGGAGGATGTTAACAGAATCTAGTGAAATTAGACATTTTTAAATCAACAGGTTCAGATAACGTGCATCCAAGATCTTTAAAAGAGCTGGCTGAGGAGCTCACTGGACCATTAATGTTGATTCTCAGTAAGTCCTGGAACACTGGGGAAGTTCCAGAAGACTAGAAGAAAGCTGATGTCAATGTTGAAAAAGGGTAAACAGGATGACCATGTCATTACAGACCTGTCAGCCCAACACTGATCCCAGGGAAGATAATGGAGCAGTTGATACAGGACTCAGTTAATAAATAATTAAAGGAGGGTAATGTAATTAACAAAATGAACATGGGTTTATGGAAAATAGGATCTATCAAACTAACTTGATATCTTTTTTTGATGAGATTACAAGTTTGGTTGATAAAGGCAATAGTGTTGATGTAATATACTTAAACTACTGTCTGGGGTTTGGCTTGGTACCATATGACATTTTGATTAAAAAAACTAGAAATATATATAATTAACTTGGCCAATATTAAATGGATTAAAAGCTGGCTAAGTGACTTTTGCAATGTCTAAAAATGTAATTGTAAACAGAGAATCATCATCACTGAGCAGGTGTGTTTCTACTGGAGTCCCTCAGGGATCAATTCTTAGTCCTACGCTATTTAACATTTTTATCAGTGAGCAGGATGAAAAGATAAAATCATCACTGAAAGTTTGCAGATGACACAAAAATTGTGGGAGTGGTGAACAATGAAGAGGACACGTGACTGATAAGATTGGGATTGGGATTGCTTGGTAAACTAGGCACAAGCAAACAATATGCATTTCAGTATGGCTAAACGTAAATGTACACATCTAGGACTAAAGAATGTCGGCCATACTTACAGGAAGGGGGACTCTGGGAAGCAGTGACTAAATAAGATTTTGGAGTCATGGTGGATAATTAGGTGAATGTGAGCTCCCCATGTGAAGTTTTGGCCAAAAGGGCCAATGCGATGCTTTTGGAAGCACAAACAGGGGAATCTCAAGGAGCAGAGAAGTTACTTTACCTCTGTGTTTGGCACTGGTGCAACCACGGCTGGAATCCTGAGTCCAGTTCCAGTGCCCACAGTTCAAGAAAGTTGCAGATAAATTGGAAGGGGGTCAGAGAAGAGCCATAAGACTGATTAAAAGGATTAGAAAACCTGCCGTATAGTGATAGATTCATGGAGCTCGATATGTTTAGTTCAGCAAAAAGAAGGTTAAGGGCTGATTTGATTACAGTCTATAAATGCCTACAACGGGAACAAATATTTACTAATGGGCTCTTCAGTCTAGCAGAGAAAGGTCTAACCCAGTGGTTCTCAACCTGTTAATGCGGCCCACAATGTGTTAAGTGGGGTGCAAGTTGAGAACCGCAGCCCCCCTCCACTCTAAAACTGCCCACAGTGCCCTATGACTGGCACTCCTGCCCAAAGCAGGGCCAGGTGTGGAGCCCTGGGCGCAGTCCAGGCAGCTGGACCCCAAATCCTGCTGCATGGGGCCGAGCAGGAGCGGGGGCCCAGACCCGGACCCCGCAGGGCCGGGCAGGAGCAGGAACCCAGACCTGAACCCTGCAGCGCAAGGCAAGAGCTGGGACCCAGACGGCACGGGGCTGGGCAAAAGCCTGGACCCAGACTCTGACCCGCAGGGCCAGGCAGCAGCCAGGACCCCCAGCACCGGGCCAGGAGTGGAGCCCCCGGTGGGGCCAGGAGTGGAGCCCCACCTACAGCCTGGGGCAAACCCTTAGTTCCTAGAGCCCCCACCCGCAGATCATCTCTCCCGTCCCCTGCCCTGTGGCACGACCAGCTCTCTGCTGGCAGGATTACAGGTGCAGTCTGCAATAGGTTGTCTCCTCCTCAGCCAGCCCTGCTCCCTGCCAGACCAAAGCGGCAAATTTTGAATTTTTTTTAGCACACAGCTGGGCTGCAGCTGTGTGCTAATTGGGCCATATGCAGCCCGCGGGTTGAAACCCGCTGGTCTAACCTGATCCAACAGCTGGAAACTGAAAGTAGAGAAATTGAGAATGGAAATAAAGTGTAAATTTTTAAAGGTGAGAGTAATTAACCACTGGAACAATTGACCAAGGGTTATGGTGGATTCTCCATCACTGGCAATCTTTAAATCAAGATTGGATGTTTTTCTAAAGGAACTGCCCTAGGAATTCTTGTGGGGAAGTATCCTGGCCTGTGTTATGCAGGAGGTCAGACTGGATGGTCACGGAATCTATGGAAATACCCTCTAGTAGACGTCCCCTGCAGAAGCAGAGAAGAGGCAGCGCTGATGGATTGAGCAGAGACTGGGAGAATGTGTCTGCCCCATATATCTGTCTGCCATTAGTTTGTGAATCCTTTGGAGGCAGGGATCTGTCTTACTCAGGGCTGTAAAACAGCTAGCACCCTTTTGGGGCTATATAAAGAGTGATACTAAATGAAGAGCAGCATAAATGTGTCAGGTTTCCTTGGATGAAGGTGCCTGTAACTGCTAAGGCCTTTGGTGTTGAAAGGACGCCTTGCTCAAAGCTGTGGCATTGCATCTGGTGGCTGGTCCCTCTTGATGAGTGATAGTAGCTGTGTATGTTTCAGGAAACAGCTGTGGTTTTGACACTGGTTTTCATACAGTGACTACCAGCATCTAAATGAGACTGTTAATCTGCAGGGGACCCCACATCCCTCTCCCGTGGCCAAGTTGGGGCTCTCACAGATGAGACACACTGCCAGTGTTCTGGTGCTGGGTAATGTGGAGGACCCTGACTGCCCACCATATGACCAGGGGGCTGGGGCCAGCGTGACAGAGCCCGCGCACTGGGAGCACTTTCCTCTACAGGAAGTGGCTCTCTCAAACAGATGATATTTACAAAGTCAGTTGCCCCCGAATCCATGGGTGTGGGTCAGGCTGACTTCTCCATTCTGTCTGCCAGCTCCAGCACTCCATGGGCTGCTGCTCCCCTGCAGCTGATGGGTGGGGTGGCTATCCCAGACATGCAAGAGCTGTGAGGGTCTCCCTCTGTCCCCACCTGAAACGGATGGGTTGTGCTGCTGTCTCCCTGTGCCCCGAGGCCTTGGTGCAAGCATTCCTGTTGCTCTCTTTCTGTCTGCAGGATGGAAACGTTCCCTTCCGTGACAGAGGAGGTCCTGAGGGAGTTCCAGGTGCTGCTGAAGCACAGCCCCCCTCCCATCGGAAGCACCCGTATGCTGCAGCTCATGGCTATCAACATGTTTGCGGTGTACAACTCCCAGCCCAAAGGTACCAAGCATTGTCAAGGAGGGGGGCTGGGAAGTTTTGCCCTCTTCTGTGTGGCGAGTGATTAAATCTGTGTTGATGAAGAAGAGCAGGGGAGAGGTACTGAACGAGCAGCCTTCAGGGAGGCAGAGCTGCCTTTGAATGCCTGCTCTGTGGAAGGCAGTAGAAAGGGCCCTGAGGCCAGCATCCCAGGGCCTCTCCCCGGAAAGCACCGCTCTGTTCTGAGTGGGGAAAAGCTTATGAGTGTCTTCCTGGAGTCAGGCATAAGTGTGTTGTGGAGGAGGAGGATGCTGATCCGTTACACCTCACTTAGAGCCTGTCCCCAAGAACTGAATGAATGCTGAGTGATTTCCTGACATCCTTTCCCAGCACCTGTTTCTGTCCCCACTTGGAGCCTTACACTAGCGCTTAGAGGCAGGCCTGAAGGCAGCTGCTCTCCAGAGGCACCGTCCGTGGCATTAAAGGGACAGCTCTGAGGGAGCATGCCTAGTCCAGTGGCTGCCGAGCTCATTGCTGAGCCTGTTTGTAGGTAGCTGATGGAGGCGGTAACTGAAGGGCCAGGAAAGGCGGCTCACCCTGGACAGAGCCAGCTGGGAAACAAAGCAGGTGTTTCCAGATGGGGTATCCTTGCTTCTCTCCTTGCGCCTCCTCCATTCACTCTTGGGCAAGGTGTGTTGGCTCCTCTACCTTTATAGCCTTGAGTCTATTGAACAAGTGGCTGTCCCCAAACCCAGTGTTCTCCCTGAGCCTGAGAGTGGGCTCCAGGGTTGAGTGCCCTTTCCTCAAGCACTCTGCAGAGATTTCTGAGTTGGCTAGGTCTTCCCCAGTTGCCTGTTTGTTTGCAGCTGTACGGAATGACAGTGGGGTTGGACTTGCACTCCCAGGGCAGGAAGAGCCCGGCGTTTAAAGCACCAGCTGCTGGATGTTTAGATTTGGAAGGGGGCGAGGCTTCTCCTGCTTGCATAGTGCACTGCAGTTGTGGCCAGAGTGTTGGGTTCTTACAAACACAATGAGACACGATCCCTGCCCCAAAAAGCTCGTGATTTCAGCTTTTCCTCTGCAAACAGCTGGCTCCTTGTAATGCCAGACTAAGTGATTGGGGGACGAGATCAGCCGACTGGGTGAATTGGTGTGATGGAGAAATAGGAAACTCTCTCTTTCCGTCTGCATCCCAGCCTGCTTCACAGGCATCTTCCTGTCTTAAGAAGGAACTGCCTCCTTGGAAGTCACAAGTGCTGCTGCTTAGGTTGGGCTCATGAGCCAGGCACCCTTGTCCCTTCTGCCAGCTAACCAGACAGAGTGTTTATCTTTCCCAGCTTCAAAGCACTTTACAAACATGAGCAAATGCCTCCTCTCAGCCCCCTGGGAGGCAGGTCATTGTCCTTATCCCTGTGCTACAGATGCAAGGATGAGCACAGAGTAGGAAAGGGCCCTAGCCAAGGTCATGCCGCAAGCCAGAGGCAGAGCTGGGACTAAAATCCAGATGTCTTAACTCCCAGTCCTGCACTCAGACAACCAGCTTTAGCTGCTGCATTCCCAGTTCCAAGGGGATGCAGGCAAGGGGGAGGGCGCTGAGGCTGTCTCTTCTCTTGGTGTGTGAAATAAGCCCAAATATTCTTAAGTATCCCTCTCTCCTAAGTGAGTAGGTGCCTGCTGCACCCAGCTTCAGGTCTCTGTAGGGAGCAACTCCTTTCCTGCTTGGGGTTCAGTAGTGAGTGCCTGGAACCAGTGACTGTGTTCATGAGATGCCTGTGAATTGGAGGATACTGCAGTTCCCACCTGACACTCAGCACTGGTGAAGGGTTTGTTGGGGGTCTTGTGCTCGGCTCTCGTGTTTGAGACCCTAGGATGCTGCTGATCACATTCATGGGGTAGAAATACTATTGTCAAAGTGAGCTTGTTGCCAGCCCGAACATCCCGGACATTTCCGGGGTGTGCATATGTTGAATGCTGGCAAAGTCCCCTGTGAGTTTGAATCAGATTTCATGGTACTGAGCGGTACAAAGAGCTGGATACTGAGGAGAAGCAAAGGGCTTGGAGTTTTAAATGTATGCAAGAGCATTTGCTGCATTGTTGCCAAGTGCCCAGTGCATAGCTGAGGCATTGGCTCCACGCCCTGGTGTGTGGGCTGCTGTGGGCAGAGGGCTGAGTGGAGCTTACTGCAGTGATGGCTGGTGGGAAGATGCATGTTTCCATTTCCCAGCGTATGAGTCACCTTCGGTGTGTTGCACTTGCACGGACAGCGACAAGAGGGGGTGTTGTGGTGATCAGCATCTGTGTGTATGGAGGAGGCTGAAAGGCCTTAAAACCTTTGCCTAATTATCATCAGCACAGTCACTGAAAGGAGTGGTAAATCACGAGTGATTCCATTCAGCGGCCTTCCCCAACAGCCTCTGCACTGCTGGGTAGCGTGTCAGTGGGGAGAGCACGGCAATGCTGTCCCACACGCATGCCTGCATGTGTGGTCTCTGTCAGGGTGCAGTCTGTCTGGTCTCTGCTCAGAGCAGGAGTTATGCTCTCTCTAGGGCAGAGAGGGTTCATTCATAGGCTCCCTGCACTGCCCTGGGGCTCCTGATGTGGAATAGACCTGCTGCCCGTAGTGTTAGTTGGCTCATGAGCCTTCCCTTTGCTCCTGTTGATTTCCAGGCCTTCAAGACCCCAGTCTGTACTAGAAAATCTTTTCAGAACTTCCCTACCAGCTGCTGCCGCTGTGTATCAATTAGACCTGCTCTCAGTAAGGTTAAACTGTGTGGCGGCTCCTCCCTATTAGGGCTCCCATTGCTGTTCATACTGAGGGAGCTGGACTGGTGCTAGCAAAGGGGCAGCGGGGCTGGTGTCAGGCTACCTGTCCCTGTGAAACTGGGACTGGTTCTATTGCTTTCATTAACAGACTCTCACTTGACTCCAGATGGAGCCAAGAATCCCACTCAGGGTCTTTTCTCCTGATGGAGCACCCATTAACCAGTGATCTAGCCTCTCAGCCACCCACATGGAAGAGGTGTTAGGAAGGGTCTATTGCTCCCAGCTGCTGCCTCATATCAGAGCCATGTAATGCTATGGCAGAACCTGGACTGGAATGGGAAGAAGAGAACTGGACGCAGGGATGGGCGCTAGGTGTATCTGAGGCTGCAGCTTGTGCAGTTGCTGTCCCTGTCTAGTGTGAGCTGTCAGTGGCTGCTGATACCTTTGAGGCCATCCTGGGCTCCCAGAGAAAGGCAGGGACCTTTTTGGGGTGGCCATATTTAACAGTTTGGTAGCCATCTGCACATATGACTTGCAAAGAAGTTTGGATCCCTTTATCCAAACCACAGACACTCCAAGAATTCTAATTTTTTTTAATTCTGTAATTTGGGGAAATAAAACTCTGGTTTCTGAAAGGGCTAATTGAAGCCGTGCTTGCAGCAGGGGCATATTGGTGGGAGAGAAACCCCTTCCCAGCCCATCTGTGCCCAATTTACTCCAATCTGGCCTCTCTGGGGCTTTTTTCTTTCTCTCTCTCTTTAATAATTTGTTTTATAATTCCTGGAATCAAACCCATCTCAGACACACTGTTTTATTTTACTGTATTATTGGATTATACTTCCTATAAATCACTGGATGTTATTCATAGGCCACCACCGGAATAACTTCCCCTCTCCCCTGATGGGTCTACATTCCACACAAATGCACACCAACCTGGGGGCTCAGCAGAGGGCACCCTAGAGACACTTCCCGGAAATCCCAGCAAATTTGCCTGGCTCTGGGTGTGAGGCATCAGGCTGCAGCACCTGGATGCCTTCTGGCACTCACAGTCCTGTTGCATTTGTTCTTTCGAGTTTGTGAGGAACTCGGACTGAAAGGGAGGGAATTGCCACATGTGCATCCCCAGCTTATGTGGGGAATGGAGTGCAGAGCCAGGGCTGGGTACTGCTGGCTGGGCTCCTGATCAGGGAGACAGGCCCGTCTTCAATCAGAAGAAATGTCAGTGGAGTGTGGTGACGAACCTGTGTGACCTGCTGACCATTAAGTAGGGGTCTTGCTGTTTGGATGGCAGTCATACCACCGAGGTGGCTTTGGAGCATGGGAAAAGGTTCATTAGGGCAGCTTATAGGAAATCAGTCTTTAATGTAGAATCACACTGGTTTGTGGCTAGGGCTTGGCTGGCATGGGCCAAACCCTGGGCCCGCTCTCCCATATGGTTCCAGAGGTGGTCCTCCTCCCCCTCCCCCATAAATAGGGCCTGGAGGGCAACAGAACTGGTGCGGCTGTGCTGCACGGGGTCGGGAGTGCAAGCTGAGGAGAGTCCCCACCCCTGTACACATGGAACTGTGCTCTGGGGGCCTCTGGAGCAGCCTGGAGAACCGTCATTGCACATCCTCTAGCCACCGCTGTGACGTGCGGAAAGGTGTGCGTCCAGTAAAGGAGCAAGCTAACGCTCAGCAGAACTGTCTGGTGCATAGACCTTCTCTGCACCAGTTCCTGCCAGGTCCACTGCAAGACATAACCTGATAAAGGAGTCTTTTTGGTAGTGCAAAGTATCTGTGCCCCCAGGTGTGTGTGAGACCCTCCCCCTTCTTCACCAGGTGCATGTTCAGCATCTGTGCACAGCTGGAGAAGGAGGCATCACTCATGTAATTCTCAACTGAATTCATTGTGTACTTACTCTGTTACCGAACAGACAGCTCCCCTGTCATCCTGCTCCTATGTGCGGCTCTGTGCTGAGTGCACTGTGTGCTTCGCTTTAGTGACCGCAAATGTTCTGACTTGCGAGCTAGACTTGTGAACCCTTAAAATAACCTTTGAGATGTTGGAAAGGCGAGCAGTGTCTACCGTTGGCAGCAGAGCTGGGCCCGTCTCCGAGTGTCTCTTCAGCGCTCACTTGGTTTCCCGCTAGGGATCAGGCTTTGTTTGACGAGCTAACTACAGCATCGGAAAAAAGGCTTAGCCGGAAATACTTACTGCTCATCTAGCGCAGCCGCATCTCAATGGCTTTTTGTGAGGGTCTAACCACATCATGAGTATTG